AGAGCAGCTCTGTTCCTCAGCAACATTTAAACGTGATGTAAAAAAGGAAAATATTTGAATGAGGGGAAAATATTCAACTGCATTAAAAGCTTTGGAATGCTACTGTGTAGAGATTGAATGATACAGGTTTTTAAAGGCTGATGCAGATTATTTTGAAATCCGTCAAAAACAATCCCTGACATGCGCTGCCGATATTTTAGGGATAGTTCTTATAGCCAACACTTTTCTATTTACAGAATAAAAGTTATACACTGGTAAAAAATGTTACCCAAGTGTTAATAAAAAAAAAACCACTTAGTAACAAATTAAACAAAGCATTAACAATGAAAAGCAAATGAAATGGATGCATGTCCTTCACATGATCTCAGGCCATGACTACTGAAAGCACTAATTAATGGGCCCACACATTGCACCAATCGGCCGATACATGGAAAAAACACTAATATTGGTCAGAAATATCGTCTGGCTGACGTATCGTTCTATCTCTACTGCAGTGATTGTAGGGAATTCAACAAAAACAATCTGATTGTATTAGAAAAAAAGTGAAATCTTTGTCGTTTCTGGAGTTAATACTTCTAACATGTCCACCTCTGGTCTTCATTCATGAGGTTATTTAGAAATCAGGCTTCAGCGACAGGCTCAGCTGGGTACCACTGTACTTGAAGTAAACAGTAAAAAAGTAGTAAAGCAAATATCTGTCTGCTTTTGTAGACAGATATTTAGCAATTTGAAATGATAGACATGATCTGTAGCTGCAGGGAGGATCTGTTATCAAAGCTCCTGTCTGACAGATTCACTCTGTTCAGACTTTGAACACCCAGATTAGAGTTCAGATGTGTGACAGCCTCCTAGCTGCTACAGACACATTAGATAATTTAGGAGGACAATCAAAGAGTGAGAATTTAGTCTTTGAAGGAGTCATGGAATCAGTGGGAGAAGCTGGGACAGATTCTGAGGAGAAGGTCAAGCAAATCATTAAGGGGAAGTTAGTTTTCATGAGACATTGAGCTGGAAAGAGCACACCGAACAATTTTAGTGAAATTCCTCAGCTTCAAGAAAAAGTAATTGGTGTTACAGAGTTTAAAGTTTTAAAGGATCTAAAATATATACTAATGAGAATCATATAGAGGCTGTAAGACAAAAGGGGTGATGCCAAAATTAAAATTCAATACAGTTTATTTCCATAGCACCAATTCAAAACACGTCATTTCAAGGCATTTTACAGAGAGAATTCAACCAGATCATTCTGTTAGATTGGTTCAAAGTTTTCTATCTAAGAAAAAAAGGCTGATTGCATCAACTCATTGAGTCGAAAGCAATCCCTCACACCAAGCATGGATGTAGTGACAGTAGAGAGGAAAAACTCCCTTTTAACAGGAAGAAACCTCCAGCAGAACCAGGCTCAGTGTGAGCGGCCATCTGCTGAGGCCCACTGGGCTTCAAGGAGACAGAAGCAGAGATACAGAAAGAAGACAAGATACAAAAGGTAGAAGCTGCACGAAGCAGAGATGATGTTGCATTTTTAAGAGATTCTGTAAAAGTTCCAAAAAAATCCACTGGACTTGGTTTCCAAGATTTGAAGACGTTTCGCCACCTCTCCAGGAAGCTTTCTCAATTCAAATGTCTGGAACCGCAGTGAGTTTGATCCAGACATTTGAATTGAGAAAGCTTCCTAACAGCAAGCGTTCAACAATGACCTCAAAATTATTCCTTTCTAGCTTTTCTGGAGGCAAAGTCACTGATGACATCATTGTATGGTATTGGTTGCTCAACTTTGCTATTAATTCTAATGACTGCGAGTCCACTTAGTCTTTGCTGGGCCTTTGATGATCTAAAGTATGTTTTAATCAATTTGACCTTGGAAAAGCTCCTCTCTGCTGAGGCAGCTGTCACAGGCAGCTATCCTGAGATCTACCCAATCATCTGGGTAAAACCCATACAGCTCATTTTGTGAGAGATATGTGAGAAGCTCAAAGGCAGGCTTCATAGTTTGGTTAATCACCAAGCAGCCACTTAGTTCGCTTATGCCTCCGGCCGGCCCTGATTATCTGTAGCTAATGGGAATCCCAAATAAAATGTAAAACCAGATCAAAGGCAGAAAAGCCTTCTGACTGATTTCAGGCTGTTTTATCCCACTGTCAACATGTTTACCGGCTGTTTTAACCCCCTTAGCATATTTACAGCTTGTTTTAGCCATTTTATCAACATGTTTGCCTGTTTTTACACGGCTTTTTAACCTGATTAAACCGGCTTTAATTGACATTAAAACGTTCACGGTTCGGTTTTCACATATTTAAAGCCTGTTTTAATATGTCTGCAGCAGTTTCTTCGCTTACTGGCTGATTCTATTCGCTTCTCTCTAAACTTCGGCTACAGCTTGTTTATTAACATTTGTAAACTATTTTAAGTTTGGACGGTAAATCAGGTGAACCTACCTGCTGCTGCTGCCGCCGCCGCTGCTGTCTGAACTCTGAGGGTCACGTGACTCAGTGAGACTGACTTTTTTTTTTCAAAGCTTTATTGAAACGGGACATTAACAAACTACAGTCCAACAAGCTCTCTCTCTGATTGGTCGGAAGAGTTTTTCCAGATGTGAGGTAATTAAACACCGGAATAAGGGTTGTTTTGTTTTCTAACCCGTTTAAAGAGCAGTTTTGAAGCTAACTGATGGGTGTATTTTGTTTTTAGATTTCTACAAGGCATTCGATTCTGTCGAACATCCATTTATCTTTAAAACTCTAACTCATTTTGGATTTGGGGAAATATTTAGGAACCTAATTAAAATGCTTTATCATGACATAAACAGTTCTGTAATATTAAGTCATGGTACATGTAACCGGTTCAACATTAGTAGAGGTATTCGTCAGGGCTGTGGAAGTTCACCATTATTATTCATAATGGTGGCAGAGATGCTGTCAATCTTAATTAAAAACAGTTGTATATCTGGAATTGAGTTATTGGACAAGAAAATAATAATTAGTGAACTGGCCGACGATACAACCCTCTTTCTGAAAAATGAAGAACAAATTCCTTTAGCTCTTCAAAGTATAAAATTATTTTCTAAGGCTTCTGGTCTTCAATTAAATCTAAACAAATGTCAACTTTTTCCTTTGAAAGACCATCCATCACGATCTTTCTTTCTAACATTAATATAAAAAAAAGGAGGTGAAATACTTGGGAATTGTCTTCACAAGAAATAGGACATCTTCTGATAACATTAAGATTTGGAACAATATTGAAAAATGTAAACTGATTCTTAATCAATGGTTACAGAGAGATGTCTCTCTTTTTGGTAGGATTTTATTAACGAGAATGGAGAGTCTTTCTCCATTTATTTACCCTGCTTACACTCTTCCGATATCAAACAAAATGATAAAAGCTATTAATAAACTAAATTTTAATTTTATTTGGAAGAATAGAAATCATTACATAAGTAAAAATAACATGATTAAAACTTATGAAGATGGTGGGGGAAATGCCATAGATTTTGAGATTATGAATGCGGTATTAAAACTTAAATGATTGAAATATATAGTATCTAATAATCTTTCAGTTTGGTCATATATATCCAATTTAGTGTTCAAAAAATAGGTGGAATCCAACTTCTTTTACAATGTGATTTTGAGATAAATAAATTACCACTTCTCTATTGGAAATTAATCTTTAATAATAACTTTACACCCCATAACACTCCTGTTTGGAACAGTAGATACGTTCTGAGTAATAAAAAAATCCATATTTATGAATGAATTGTATAAAAAAGGAATATGAGCTGTTTCTTATTTCATGGACAACAGAGGTAACCTGATACTTCAACAGGTTACCTCTGACCCAGTGCAGGTCTGGGTCCCGACAGTGCAGCTCTGGGTCCCGACAGTGCAGGTCTGGGTCCCGACAGTGCAGGTCTTCAGCCAGATCCCTCTCTACATGTTTGCTATTTTTTTTCACAGTGCTGTGCTCTGTTTGGCAACTCTGCAAAATCTCAGATGATTGGCTGAGGAACCAGGAAGTAAACACTGTCTTCACGTCACATCAAACAGCACCTCTCAGTTTAAAAGAAGGAAAGCTGGACTAAGACATGTTTTTTTATTTTTTTATAGGGAACTTTACTTTGATCCCTGCTGACAAAGGGGAAGGATTTTGATTCATTTTAAAATACATTTCTTATGTATTGCTCATCTAATTTCTTTTAAAAGATGCTCATTTGGATTAAAATTGATAAAAACCGAAAGGAGTCTGGCTGATGTAAAACCTTACTCAAAGCTTTCGGAGAATAGATTTGGGACATTTTGTCCAAGTTCGTTTCTAACTGGAGATGTCTTACTTTCCCCTCTGATCATTTGATTTTCTGGGTAAAGACATCAGTTAATTCATTACAGACCCTGATAGAGTGGAAAAGCTGCAAGGCAAATGAGCATTAAACTGTTTGCTGATGATTTCAGAGAAGAAAGATTTCTTTTCTATTGCTCTTTTAGTTTTTAGCAGCTCATCTACACAGTTACAGGTATTGTCTTATAATGTCTCAGATTCTGTGAAAATGAAGCTTCTAAAGATGATCAGATCAGACAGAGAACCTCCAGCTACTTTGAAAGTAGATGATGATCAAGTCCAAAAAATGTTGGTTCAACTTTGGGGCTTTTCCTGCTCCTTTATGTCTTTGATGACCACAACCTCCACTTTTTTTTTTTTTTTTTTGATTTTTTATGAAACTTTAATATTTTCCTTGACTTTTTTTTGTTTGTTAATGAACCTCATTATTATGGCTGGTTTCCCTGCGGCCTCCTTTGGTCATGCAGGACTTATATGTTTACTACCTTGTTGTTCCTTGTTCACAGATTAAACTGCAAGTCTGTGACCCACAGAAGGTGACATGTTGGACTTATTAGTTTTGACGTATACTTTTTAGTATATTTCTTGTAAAGATGGCGTTTCTTCTCAAAAAGGTTGAAGTCGTTGATGAAGTTCACAGATTTTATAGATTCTCTTGTTAGTTGTATCGAGTGAATGGATAAAAAGGACATTTAGAAGTCTGCTGTTAATCTAATCCCTGCAAAAAACGTCTGCAAATGGTTCACTGGGAAACACCTTGACATTTGCATCTTAAACTTCTTTCAGCAAATGAATAAAATCCTCCTTAAATGTTTGTTTTCTTCACAAACAAATAATCCAAACTGCAGATCATTTCTCTCTTTGAGCTCCAATAATTCAGGTTCATAATATGTTTAAGGTTATCTTTTGTAGGTTTCTTAACTATTCATTTTTAATTTTCTTTCTCATAACAGATTGCTAATCCGGATTTTTCTCAATGAAAGAAAAGTGTTTTTGCTCAGTGTTTTTACAGTGTTTTTACAGGTTCATCAGTTGCAAACATCTAAGCTGATCTGTTATATTAAACTTTAGTTAACTGATCTGTTATATTAAACTTTAGTTAAATATAAGATATTTACTACTCTTAACCATCCAATGGAACCCTTACGCAAAAAGGGGAGGGTAAACCTTCAATTTAGATGTTTCATTCACATGGAAGATTTGTGCTGTTGGGTGCTTAAAGGGGTCTAAGAAGTCAGGAAGCTGGAGACGGTCAGGGCAGGGGGACCACCGCTGATCAACAGACCTCAGCAGTCCCACTCAAAAGAAGGGCTCAGAGCCAACTCTGACACAGAGAGACTGACGATACTGGTTCAAGAGAGGCTATTGGGCAAGAATAGCCTCTCTTTAGTGGCTCCCCTAGTAGGTAGCCAGTCCCTTCTGAGATGCATGATGGCTGGCTACCTGGTAACAGTGGTACTAGACACTGGAGCAGGGGTAAGTCTGGTAGACCATGCTTGGCTGAATAGGTACCTACCTGGGCAGCAGATTAGGCCTTTAAGTTAACTAATGGATGATGACCTCAATGTTAAAGCAGTCACAGGGGATTCTGTACCTTATGACGGGTGGGTAGAGGTAGTAGTTAACTTGGAAAGCAATGACAATCCAGATTTATCTATCCATGTGCCCTTCCTTGCAAGCCGTCTTAAGATTGAGAGACCAATCATAGGATTCAATGTTATTCATGAGTTTATTGAGGATAATGGGGGAAACTAAATTCATTGAGCTTATTGGTAGGGCTATGGGGATCGACATGCCTTCTGTAAATGCTCTAGTAAGCTTTATCCAGACTCAAAGGTGTCCAGTAGATAACACAGCTACTGTGAAAGTGGGCTTTAAAGGGGTAAAAGTCTACCCAGGTCAGGTGGCTTATATTAAGTGTAAAGTCCCAGTGAGCATTAGCTCACTGTGCTGAATAATGCACACCTTGAACAACTTAGTGTTGGAGCAGGACTCTTACCGATTAAAAGGACAGACATACTGTATGTCAAAATACCAGTGCCCAACTACTCTTTAAACAAAGTGTTGCCCTACCCAGTTCACCTGTTTTGGGTTCTTTTAAGTCCATCGCTACTATAGTTGAGACAGACAATCCCAAAAATTTGCAAAGAGCAGGAGCAACCAATCACAGCACATTGGCACCCTCCAGTGGACATTAGTCACCTAACACCAGAGCAACAAAGTAAGGTAAAGCAAATGTTGTTTGAGGAGTCAAGCGCATTCGCTCGTGAAGTGGATGACATTGGAGACATTCCAAGTTTAACTATGAGTATTAACTTGAAAGATGATACCCCAGTCCAACGCACCTACACAGCCATCCCTAAACCGTTATACAAAGAGGTGAAAGAGTACATTCAGGACCTGCTGGCCAAAGGTTGGATAGTAAAATCAAAGTCAGGAAATGGGGTCCGAGTGGATCCAAGGGAGGTTGAATCAGTGAAGTCACTCAGTCAAAAGAAACCAACAAATGTGGGTGAATTAGAAAAACTACTTGGATTCTTGAGTTATTACCGCGTCTACATTTAGGATTTCTCCAGAATTGCTAAGCCCCTGTATACCCTTCTACAAGTTAGAGGGAGCCTTGAGGAAAGACAGGTGAAATCGAGGAAAGGAAAAGGCGCTCAGCTGCCCTCAAGGACTCCTATCCACTGGACAGGAGAACACGACCAAACGCTGAAACAGCTCATTGACATTCTGTCCAATCCAGCTGTGCTGGCATTCCCTGACTTTGAACTGCCATTTGTCCTACACACAGACACCTGGAGGAAAGGTCTGGAAGCTGTGCTATATCAAAGACAGGCTGGGAAACTAAAGGTGATTGCATTCGGCTCAAGAACTCTGACCCCAGCTGAAAAAATCTATTGTCTACACTCCAGCAAGTTAGAGTTCTTGTCACTTAAATGGGTAGTGTGTGAAAAGTTTAGGGATTATCTGTTTTATGCTCCAGAGTTCACAGTGAATACAGACAATAATCCCCTGACGTATGTGATGAGCACCGCAAAGTTGAACGCCAAAAGACTTGGTGGATGGGTGAGCTTGCAGACTTTAGGTTTAACATCAAGTACAGGCCTGGTAAGGTTAACGTAGATGCTGACACCTTGTCATGCCTTCCCCTGGACATGTTATATTGGA